TGTATGTTTTCCAAAGTGCTGCTTGTGTGGCTAAAATGTTCCTGGTCTCTGTGATTGCTGACCAGAATACTCTAGGTTTTTTTTTAATGCAAGTTTATTAATATTTAATCCTCCTCATCCTTATTATTTAGTTATTTACACTATCAATTGCTGAGAGTAATGGGATAGAAATCCCCAATGTACTGGAATTAACTATTACTCTTTTCATTTCTGCCCATCTTTGCATCCTATCCACTGAGAATATATAATTTAGTTCATAAAAGTTACAAGGATTCTATCTCACTGGGAGTGGGAAGCTATTTCATTTCTAGAAGAGATTCAGCCTTAAATTAATTTTTGCCTAATATTAAGGCAGTTGTACCTGGGTTTAGTTCGTTGGTTTGCTTAGCATTTGCCAAGAATGTATGTTTTGCATTTCTTCCTCATCCTTTTCATGTCCTGATGCTTAAGGTCTTTATGCAAACCTCATAGACTTTTTCTAAGGCCAGTGGGACAATCATTACCTTTTATCAGGAACAGCCTCTCCTCCCAAGGCTGTACCTACAGACACAATACTCGGATTTATCGCCAGCATCATCCTGTGCTATTTGGTTATTCTTTATGGTTATTTTTTCTCTTAACTTATATTTTTTTAGGCTGATATTTTTTCACATTCCATATGTTTCCATCTTCTGGTTTTGACGTGATATCACCTATATCCACCTTTCAGGGCCCCTCCTGAAAATCCTAGTATACTTACTAGCACACTCAGCATTTCAAAGTTCTTAAAATACTCTTTACCTTCATCCCATCTCAAACCATATTCTATGATGCATGTCTATTTTTACTCTATTTTTTTAGCTGCACAAGATATTATTTCTGCTGTTTCATATAATCGATGTATTTTGCTTTCCCTCACATTTACCACCTTCCTCCATCACTATTTCTTCTTGATCTCCAACCTCTTTCCAGGATGAACCTCCTTCTGCCTAATGCGATCACTTCACTGATAGCAAGTTGGTGATCAATTCTCCTAGCAATGTCTATCTGAAAAATTCCTTTTTTCTTTTTCCTGCATTCTTGAAAGATAATTTTTCCTGATTGGAGAAATCTAAATGATGGGTTATTTTCTTGCAGCATTTTGAAGGTATTACTCCACTGTTTTCCATAGTTCATTATGTTATGGAGAAAGAAGCTATTTAGGGTAGATTAGTCCTTCTTTTGAAAATTATCTGTATTTTGCGGTACCTTCTGGTCGCCCCTTTATCTTTGGTACTCTGCAATTTTATCAGCTTTACCTAAGTGTATTTTCCCTTTTATTTTATCTCACCTAAGGTTCACTGAGCCCTTCACATTTGTAGAAGTGTGTCTTTCATCAGTGCAGTATCTTCTTATATATGGCCTCTGCTTCTTTCTCTCCCCTGCACCTCAAATTACAAATGATATGTGTCATAGCTTCACTTTAAACTCCATAAAATTATATTATTTTTTCCATCTCTTTATCCCTTTTTGGCATAACCTGGATAATGTTTTCAAATCTCATTTAGTTCATGAATTCTCTCTTCATCTGAGTGCAATCTGCTGCTAAACCTATCTAATGTGTGAATTTCAAGATTTCTCATCCCTAGAAATCATTTTAGGTCTTTTTCAAATCTGTCACACTTACTATTCTTGCTCTTTGTCATTTTCAATTCTCAACTTTATCTATTTAAATATATAAAATATCTTTATTTTATATCCCAGGTCTGATCATTTCAATAGCTTCTTACTGGCTCTCACTCAAGATGACTCATTCCCTCATGGGCTTGCAATCTTGAATATTAGCTCATATTTCTTGGAAACTGATCCATGAGAATTATGAGGCCTGGGTTACAGGTGAATTCCTACAGAAATATTTTGCATTTCCATATACCACTTTCCTGGAACTTCTATGAACTCAGAAATACTTTTAGTTAACTTAAGGGCTTGAAATTTTATTGAACTTCCTACAGAAGGTAAATTTGGGCTGCAAGCTCCTGTGAAGACTTGCCAAATTGCCTTCCACTGTTGATTTCTTATTTAATTCTGTTGTGCGCAGATTTCCTGCTTTGTGTGATTTTACTTTGTTTAAATATACAAAAAATTGTTTTACATCCTAGTGTAAGGAGAAGAGAAAACATTCCAGGTGTACTTGAGAAGAAAGTGTATTTTGCTGTGGTTGAATGGGAGCCTTTGAGGTGGTCAATTAGGTCAAGTTAGTTGGTAGTATTATTCAATTCTCACATACCCTTTCTGTTTTCCTGTTTAGTAGATTTTTCTACTGGTTGTTGGGAGTGGGCACTGAAGTCTTCAGTGATTATTTGTGAGTTGTCTATTTCTCCTTTCTGTCTTTTCTATTTCAGAATTCTGCTGTTAGGTGCACATGTTTGTAATTTTTATAGCTTCCTGATAAATTGATCTTTTATTACTATAAAATTTCCCTCTTTGTCTCCAGTCACTTGTTTTACTTCAAACCTATGTTTTGTGCTGTTCGTTTAGCAACTACAGCTGCTTATGGTTATTTTTTGAATGGTGTGTATTCTTTATCTTTTTACTTTTAACCTAGTTGAGTCTAAAGTGTTTATTTTTTAGACAGGATATAGTTGAACCCTGTTTTGTTTCAATTTGTTTTATCCAGTCTTACAATCTCTGCCTCCTAACTGGCATGGTTACCGTGACAATTATATGGTTGAATGTATGTTTATCATTTGCTGTTTGTTTTCTATATGTCTCATGTCATTTGTGTTCATCTGTTTCTCCTTTATTTCCTTCTTTTGTGTGTTAAATGGATATTTTCTAACCTTCAAAATTCAGCCCAAGTTCATCTCCACATTGGAGATTTCTCTTAATTATACCTCAATCTAGCCCAGGCCCTTGGCCAAATTAGGAGTCTTTCTCTGCGTTCCTGGAGCCAAAACAAGACAGAACAGGACACTGAGTCCCTCCAGGGCAGTAGCCACCCTTTGCCACCACTACATGCTCACATGGACCCTTGCACGTTAAGGAGTCTAATAAATGATGATTTCGAGGTAACTATGATAGGTAAGTAGACAACTGCAATTTTGTGTGTAGAGGACCAACATGAAAAATGGTGCTGAAGGACACTGAGGAAGGAGGGCTCTAACTCTAAGTTACAGTCAGGGCAGATTTCCTAGGACAGATGAGTAGGACCTAGTGTATCAGAAAGGAGGGTATGATATACGCGGAAATGACACTCATGTAGTGTTTCCCAGAATAGAATTAGCATGCCATCATGGATGATATTTTTAGGTATCATTTAGATATAGGGAGAACTTTTATTTTTCTTTTATTTCAATAGTTATGAATTTATTTTTATAGGAATTAGAAGAAACTCATACACATACATTTGCACACATACACAGGTGTCTCATGCATCCAATGCATGCTTCCACACCCACTGTAGCTACATTATAATCTACTTTTAAAGTAAAAGTCAATCTTAAAATACAAGTGTGAACTAAATAGTGATGCAGGTGGCGTGTGAAAACAGCCACCTTGTGCAGGTGATATTTCAGTGCCTGGAGTCTGGGTGAAGGCAGGGCGGTGTAGAACAGCACAGTGCAGATAGTTGCAACCAGCAACACGGACCTGTGAGGCTGTGAACTGGATGGGGACACTGTGGAGAGGTGACCTTGGAAGGAACCACATCACAGAAGACTTCAGACATTTGCCAAATAGCCCAGGAGCTCCCAGACTCCTTAGCGTGCAAGGCTCCACATGAGCATGTAGTGGTGGCAAAGGGTGGCTACTGCCCTGGAGGGGCTCAGTGCCCTCTTCTGTCTTGTTTTGGCTCCAGGAACCCAGAGAAAGACTCCTAATTTGGCCAAGGGCCTGGCCTAGATTGAGGTATAATTAAGATGGGAACAGAGCACTGGGGAGAAGACAGAGCTTCTGCAAAGTCAGGACTTGGGTTTGAGCAAATGGAACACTCAGTCACACACTTCAAAAGTCTTGAGAAATGCCTGCCAGCTAAGCAGTTAGGGATGTGAGTCAAGATCAACACCCCAGGATATTCAGGCACTATCCATAATGGCGAAGGACTGCAGACCAGCTAAATATGGGACAAAAGATCGCACACCTTGCAGCAGATGCAGACATGAAGGCTGCAGCCCTCAAAGTCATGTTGAAGGCTGCATGGTGACGGGGGAAATGCTCGCACACAGAGTTGGGGGAAAACTCTAGCTACAGGCTGTACAATCAGCAGGACGTAAATACTCACTATAGAAAAAGCTGCAAGCTCATGCACACACATAGATTTTAGTGACATGTTTATGATATTTTTAAATATCTTTTAGAGTTTTTAAATTTATTTTTGCTTAATATTTTACCTATTTTTACTTAAGAGCAACAGTGATTTTAAAGAAAAGGACATTTTCACCACGATGGAGCTGAAAGTGTAGGAAGCCCTTGCCTCTCCCTCTCTCTGATGCCAAAGCAAAGGCGAGGCAGTGCTGAAAGACGCCCACAGGAAGGGAGAAAAGAAACCCACATGGCCCCACAGTCCAGCAGACAAGACACTGCAGCTCTCCTGGCAGCCCAAGTCTCAAGTTCCCCAGAATAAACAGGCTCACCCGCCATGGCTTCATCTCCCCCCTGCCCCGGAGTCAGCCGGGGGAAGAGCAAAGACAACCATACACTCACGCTCACTGGGCATGTCCAGACCAATAAGCACCAGATCAAACAAACCGTGATGAAATCTGATGACCTTCACCAATCAAGGTCAACCCCTTGATCAGGTTTGATGGGGCAAAGAGGAGTCTGTTCGATCAGCCCCCATGACGCTGTGGATGTCACCACCCAAACTAGGATCTAACTTAACCTTGTCGCCACCAAACAAAGAAGAAGAAAGAAGTCACTGCAGACTATTCATTGCTGCCCCTGTAATAAGCTCCTCAGGAAAAAGAAAAAGGAACCGATCTGGTGACTAATTTTAAAAACCAGAGGATGTGTTCAAGTTCCCTTTTATAGTCACTCGCCTTTGTCTCTGTGGCTGAGGGCTCCAACAAGTTGCTGGGCTTTTGTTCCTGTAACCCTGGGCTTATCTTCATCAATAATGGTTTGTCAGAACGATTTTCTGAATCAAAACGGGGCCTATGGAAGAGAAGGAGAATTCCTGATCAGGTCCCAGTGTTTGTCCTACACAAGTGGCTTTCAAAGGGAGACAGAGAGAGAAAATGAAAATACAACAGGGGGGGAAACTATTTTCTTTATACGCCAGCTAATTGTTTTAATTATCTGATCCTTTTAAGCAATGAAATAAAATGGAATTAAGACTTGTATTTTTATTTTTTAACTCTCTCCTTTACCTTTTTGTTCATGAGTTGAAACAGAATCTCAGAACCGGGAAGGCTCCCAAATTCACCTGATCAAGACTTTCATTCTGCAGGAGAGACGTTGAGGCTCAATTCTGGGTCAGTACAGAATTTAGTAAAGGAAATAGCATAAAACACAGAAGAGTAGTAGCAGATATAAAGAAAATATTGCATGGTTCAAATTTTGTAGAATTTTGATTTTTTTTGGACAATCTAACCTTCAGTAGATGCCCTGCTTTAACCAACACTACATGGTTGACTTGCTTTCAGACACTACACACAAAAGAAAAAAAACTTACCTAAATTTTTCTGAGATTTGCTTTCATACATACATCAGAGTCTACAGACCTATCAGCCAACCTTGAGCTGAACTCCAAGGCTGGCTTGAGCTGGAGGTGAGGGGCCCACATTAGAGGGACCCACAGAAATTCAAAACTCCAGTTATCTGAAGAAAAGCCTCTTCACACTTCACGTGCCCTTTAACTAGACAATGTCCATATTTCTTCCCATGAGCCCGCTTTTCAGCCAATAAAATTTACTCTTGTTCTCGAGCCTGGTCCCCAAAACCTATATTACTTCCTTGCCTTTCTTCAGTGGGAGGCAAGTTTGAGTTTCTCTCCTGCCTCTTTGCAGTTGTTTTACAATAAAGCTTTTCTTTCTTTAAAACCCTGGTGATATAATAACCTGATCCTTGTAATTTGACAGTGAGCTGTCTCCTGGGAAGAGTATTCCACTGAGGCTCAACTCTGAAAACACAAAGGAATGTCTGGAAAATACTGAGGAGGTGCTGGACTGAGTCAGCAGTCAACAGCAATCACACACTGCAAAGCACGTGACATGCACATGCGATAGGTCACAGGTCCCCCACATCTTGAACAAGAGGTTGGAAGTTGTTTTTATCATCCTTCTGTTACAGACCAAGAAAGTGACTTAACAAAACTAGAAAATGCAGTCAAAATTCACACACAATTCACAAAATCAGGAACTGTAGGTATTAAACACTATTATACTCTGACAATGTCACATCTTTATACTTTTAAAATTGGTAGTAAAAGCACTCAAAATTTAAGAAATTATGAATTTTTTCTAAATATTCAATGTGGTCAGGATTTTTCTCAGCTTCAAAATGGATTTGAATCAACAGTTTCATCTTTGGAATACTTTGGTCAAGTGACAACTTGAGTTCAAGTGGTTTCTAAAAGTCATTTGCTTATATTTCTGAAACTCCAGTTCATCTAATTGCTTGGGGTAGGCACACACCAATGAAGTCTTATGTATGAAGTAGAAAATTTAACTCTAAGAGATGAACACTGAAGTGGGAGTCACAAACCCCACAATCTTATTGCTGACTCTACCACCTACAACCCTCACAACCACAGACATGGCCTTTGACTTTGATAAACTTCCATTTCTGCATCCCTAAAATGGCAATTTGCATTCAAATAAGGCCAAAATAGTATTGCCCCCAAGTCTTAGCCAGACACTGCCAAATTTAGATGGGAAACTCAAAAGCCCCTAGTCCAGGGTTTCACAAATTCAGATGCCTATAGTAGTTAGGCAGAAAATATAAATGATTGGAACAAATGCAGGGTTAGACATTAGGGAGTGGTGGGGATTGTGGTGGACTATGGAGTGTCATTGAAAGAACTGTTGAGTTCCAACTTCATGCAGAAATATGGACCCAGGACTTCTAGGTTTCCCCCATTACCAAACAAAGATAGAATTTTTTTATGAAACCTATTCTGAGTTTTAAATACCAGCAACAAAACTCCAATTATTTTGGATATGATGTCAACCAAACAGACATTTCTGAGAGCCAGATTTGTGCCTTGTTCCGATAGTCCATGGTTTTTGATTGCAACCCATTTTCCTCCACCCCATCCCAGGTGAGGACATGGGTTCTGTGAAATGAATGGAGTGAGCTGCTCCCAGCAGGACCAAAATCCAAGTGTCCTGTCACTGACTTCTGGAATCTTCCCTAAAACCTTATCTGTTCTCCTTTGCTTCCACGGGACAGGAAGATTATAAATTTAATACAGCTGGCAGCAAAGCTAACGCACCCCCATCTCCCCCGCTCAGCCAGGCCGTTGGTCAAAGCACAAGCACCAAAGAGAGGATTCGCTTCCTGTCACCTTCCTGAGGTGAGGAGTGTGGGGGGAGACACAGCAGCTCACATCTCAGGTTCCGGGAAATTCCATTCTGTTTCAGACACTGATGGATCTACAAATTCTTAGAAGTCTCCATCATTATTCCAACAATGCCCACAATTTTCTATTTTCTCAGGTGTTACCTCTTCCTTATCTGCTGAGCAAAGAATACCCCCAAATGGCTGTGTTTCTTTCTCCCACAGAAAAGAGATGCTGTTCCAAGAAAACCGGCTTCAGAAGTGAGAACCATGGAGAATAAAAGGCATAAGGTCAGGCGGAAACAATTATGCCAAAGACCCTAATTGGATTATCAGTGGTCAGAAATTCAGCTTTCAGCAATTACCTATTCAAGCCATGAAAAAATGAACCTCAAGTCACTTCTTAACTTTCCTTCCCTTGCAATGTGTGTGGGAGCTTCTATTAATGAGACAGAAAACAAATTCTTAGAGGAAAAAAAATACCTCTATCCACACAACCCATTGTGGATTTTCTTCCATTATTAAAAGGTTTCTTTAAAAATCGAAGCAAGTAATTTAAATCTCTATTCATAGCCTAGTTATACTTCTGTATCGAAGCCTGCAAAAGATCAGATAATCCTTTTCAAATTTCATAAATGACTTCTTGTCTCCCGTGAATCACCAGACTTCAATTCAAGGCGGTGTGGACTTCATACCCTATACACGCCACCACCCCACCACCCCACCCCCCCATAGCAGTTCCCAGTTGGGAGGGATTGTAAAACAGTGATGTTTCTAAGCTCAGAGCCTTGGTGTGGAGAAGCTGACCAAACCAGTTCATCAGACCATGCAACTCCTGCAATCTGGATATTACAGAAGCAGAAGACAGATCTAGCACTGCCAAGAAAGTCAAGGAAGGCTGCATGGAGGTGACACTAGAAGACAGCGAAGTATGGATAGGAGTTTACCAGACAAGGAAGTCCATTCCGAGCAAAGAAGATAACACATGGACACAGGTAGGAAAGTCCTGGCTCCCTCAGGGGCCCTGTGTAATTGAGGATGGGGCCCACACAGGGTGGGGTACAGCTCTTGTGATTTTGCGCCAAGCATTTCAACTCCTCATCCCATTGGATACTGAAAACATCGCAAAGTCCATGAAAGCTGTGCTCATACAGAGCTCTTACCCTGTACCAAGTACTCTGTATTATGCTGTGCAAGATGCATGGGGCAGGCAGGCTGGGGGTTGGGTGCCCTGCAGGCTGCCAAGCGTCCAGCAAATCTGTGCTCTTTCTCTTGGGCTCTGTCTGGCATCATCTTATTGTCCTGCCTCCCTGGAATCGCTCGTCCTCTGGTAGCCCTTCCACCACAGCCATCTCTGAGTGACGCCACCCTCATAGCCTTTGCCTCCAGGCTCAGCTGTGCCCACTCAAGCCCACACCACATTCCAGGCGTCCACACTCCCAAGTGCCTCCTGCATCCAAGGCCGCAGGTGACAGCAACAGAGGCCAGCGGAGCAAAAGCCGGACCAGTTCACTTACCCTACAATTATAATTTCACTTAATCTTCATAGCAAACCTTTGCAGATGTCCCTCTACTCTCATTTTGCAGCCGGCGAACCCAAAGAGCCAGCCATGAGTCAGCAGGTCACAAAGCAGGAGAGGCTGGAGCTGGGACCCTCATCAGGGCCTTGTGGCTCCAAGGCCCCTCCTTTACCCTGAACAAAACACCCAGTGGTGGCGGGGGCACAGCTGGGCAATGCACATCAATGAGTTTTGGTGAGAAAGGATTGATTCCCCAGGGGACTAATAGGGAAACTGAGGTCCAGTGTCATGAGGCAAACTATCCCCATAATATGCTCTCTGTACATTTGTTCACAATGCCAACCCCAAAAGTGGGGGGGGCAGCTGGAGGCTGGGCAGTAGGGGCTGGAGACACAGAGTTAATAAGCAATAAAAAAGGCACAGGGAATATAAGACAGGGTGTCCAAGTGGGGGCTGAAGCCTCACCCTGATGTTCCAGCTCACTCTGCTCCTGTGTGCGGCCAAAGGGCAGCAGTTTCCAGCAAGCCCCAAGCAGCCGACAGTCTCCATGGGCAGCAAGAGTTTAGGCAAATAGACAGCACCTGCCACTGTCCTGTTGTTAGGGGGAAAAGGCTGTCCTAAAGCTCATTCCATACAGGCTTTGTGGACTCCACCCCCACCCCAGGCCAAAGCCAAAGACACTGGGAACTCCAAATCCCATCCCCACCAAAGGGAAGGTGGCTGGGACCTGAGAGTGGGGTTCAGCAGCCAGGTTGGTATAAAGCCAGACACATAGGCTTTGGGGGTTCCCCATTTTGGCTCCCCGCTAGCTCGCAGCGTCCGGCCAGCTCGGAGAGTGCCTTTGGGGTTTCCAGGTCGGCGGATCAGGTAGGACGCATTAAAGACTTTATTTCCCTATTTTCTCCCTGAGTTGTACAACTTCCTTATTTCCTTTTCCCTTGTAAATAAACCTTTCATTAACCTTTTGTGTGTGCCTGCAGTGGAGTTCTAATAAGTCCCTTTTAAGCGCGCAGGTGAGGACCCACAGCCAGGCAACCCGTTCAATATCGGGGCTGCCCTGTAACACCGTGACTTCCTGGCACTCTCCTTCCTCCTGCACACAGGCCTGGGGCTCCAAATCTTCCAGCTCAGTGG